GTAACAAAACAGTTGACGGTAGCCATTGACTTCCATAGTATGGAAAAATGATGACAGAATTTTAATTTTTTGGTGAACTATGCCTTTAAATGTAATCCTCTTAAATGTATCAGCCTGAAGTTCACCATGTTTTCTATCTGCCAGGCCTACAAGCCTGGACGCCTTTGTTTTTGGCCATATCGCCCCTCTTATTAAAGCCCCTATTCCCAGTGGCCAGCTTCAGAAGCACCTGAACCAACTTGATAACCTCTGCCAGTTCTGCAACACCATCCTTAAAAACTACTTTACCGACGCCTCTGCTGAGAAGAGAATGGACTGTAAGTAGTAAGACCTCTGTCACAACCTGTCTAGAACTATATTAATAAAACCACAAAAAAACATAGTATTGGTCCTGTTCTGCTCTCCTTCGTCTTTTTATTACTTGATCTCAACCTACATTTGATTGCTGTTGAATCATATAGAATTAAATCATTTAACCAGGCATTCATGATTAATTACCTTTCAATTTGCCTTCAACCCCAGACATTTGGCTCATAGCAAATGCTAAAAGACAGTTTAATAACAGCATGGTCTTGGGCCTCGTGGCTATTTTAAGTGATTTGCTTCTGTATCTCTTTGGCTGCCCTCTGAATCTGCACTAACCTTTCTCCCATGTGCGTCTAAAAACGTCTGCTTTTCTTCAGAATCAGTGTCCTGTCGTCTTTTCTCTATCTCTGCCCTCTTGCTAGGCTCTCCGACGGCTACCCATGATCCTGTCGATGCAAACCTCCAGAAACTGACACAACTTGTTAACAAAGAGTCCAACCTTATTGAAAAGGTCTTGGCAAGATCTGCTGATTCACTTCTGAATTTAATGTCACTAGAAATTGCAGTTACATGTTTAAAAGTATGTGGACACTGTTTTTTCACAATGTATTGAAATGTATTTGTTCCTATTCAGAATTCCACAGCAGCGTCAGTGAGGTCAGACACTCATATTGAGTGATGGGATCTGGCTCACAGTCAATTTCCCAATTCAGTGTTCAATGGGGTTCAGGTCTGGGCTAGTCTAGGCCAGTCAAGAAAGAGTCCAACTAGACCAGGGGTAGGCAAGTTCGGTCCTAGAGCGCC